AGAGAGATTCTCCGTTCGCATGCCGACAGCCCTGTCGCTCATGCCATGAGCAACACCCTGCCCACAGTGAATCTCGGCCATTATCTCCGATACTCAGATTTTGACTGAGCCGTTCTCAGGTGTAACACCAACAGAAACACAGTTTTTCGATATAGTGAAAACTATTCTGTCTTTACTGAGCGCACTCAAAAAAGGAAGTCTAGCACTTGCAAAAAATTTAATGCCCGTAGCGAACCTATATGTTTTCCAAGGGATGACAAAAAAAATAAAACCCACCTCGGCACTGGGATGGACTGGGGAGGCATCAACCCTAAAAAATGCCCATTTCCATGTAGGGTTCCCCTCTCGAAAATGCATCTAGGTTCCCTAGGGGTTTTATTTTTTTCTGCCAGCCCGAATGGTCTCGGTAGAGGCGTCTAGTACTTTCGGTAGCGTTATTTGCGGTCGGTTGCGCCATGCACTACCAAGGAATTATATGGGCTTCATTATCTAATACCTTAATTTCCGTACGGTATCCAGGTCGGGAGGGTAAAGTGGATGGTTTTGTTTCGTCACGTCTAATGAGTTCGACCAGCGTGAGAAATGTGACTAGCAAAGGACGACCAATCAGCGTTGAGAAAGTCCAGGTTGCGGAATTTGTGAACGAGGTGTGGGTAGAGACAGTTACTGCGGAGAAATACTTCCGTGACGCCATGCGAAGATCGCCTTACGACGTGCGGCTTTTGACGAGCTTCGCGCAGTTCTCGTGGCAACGGCTCCATAATAAGACTCAGGCGGAGGATCTGTTCAGAAGGCGTTGAGCGAATCACCCGACAACTCAGATGCTCTCGCGAGCTATGCCCTTTTTCTTTGGGAAAGTGAAAGCGAGAGTGAGGGCGAAAATTGACGATCCGCTGGATTTGCGGCAGAAAACCCGCGGCGATTGAATTTATCACCGGTTGCCTCGTAGCTGAGTGTAGTCTAGTGGAATTTGTTAGGTTGACTGCTCGTGTTTTTTAGGCCTTGCACCCTGCCTAATCTTCTGCGAAACCTTCATTGAGGACAGGGTATACATGTGGACATTTTGACCGTGAGGGAAGCAAAGCTGAGACCCAATTCGAGGAGGATAAACTTGTACCAAATGCTGCAGTGAACAAGTGCATATCCTAAAAAGACATCCTAAACTTGTACTCCCGCATTGGAGCCCGATTCCAGGCCAAGTTCCGATTCATGGATCAGAGTATTCCAAGGAATATGGCTTCAAGTGACACCAAACGCATGGTGGGTGTGCGAGCTGGATGTGTTAGTATTGAAACTTGGATTACGTAATTCATTTCGAGTAAGCTTAGAGCAGAGTATCTGGAGCAGAGTATCCTCCACCACAGGATGATGCAATCGCAATTGGGGTAAATTCTGCTTCTCGCGAATTGTATTCGAAAATGTGGCGCGTGTGGATGAATCGTTCAAGGGATTGAATTGTTGGAACTTTCTCTCGAACGACTCCTCAAGTAGAGCTCGTATCTGCAAAGGCGTGTGCGAAGTATTTCGACGTAGTTAGGACGCTGTTTTGACGTTTAAGATCGACGTCGAGTGACGTCGAGCCTCTGACGTCGATCGACGTCGAATGGCACACTTTGAACACATTGCCGGCGACGAACTGTCCGCTCAGGACAAATGCCGGCCTTAATAGTAACAATTGAATTGAGACTGTCGAAGAATTGAATTGGGACCAAAACCTGAAATCGCAAATGTTTTTTCGAGAGCGTCTATTGGCTGCGAACATCTCATCACGAAATGAAAATGTTCGCAATGTTCGAGATTACAGTCTATGCCAATCTGTGAATTTGTCTAACGAGGTCTGGCAAACACTGTAAAGATTCGCTCAAGTTTTCTTTGGTTGACCGTTTCTGTGTCCATCATCATTGCACATTTCCGTACAAATGGCGATGCTGGCGTCAGCAATTTTTGAAGCGTACTTTGAACACAGAAATGGCACCCCTCAGCCCACCCACCTTGCCCAACAACCTCGACGTAGCTCGACGTCGAGCTACATGCAGCACTTTGCACACGCCATAACCCCCCCTCTAAAATATAGGTTACGAGGAGCTTTGTTTCCTTGTTTCCCGGCCTCGACACTTTATGACTTTATGATCTTTGTGTCTTTGTTTTTGACATGTCACTTAGCCGAACGTTTTTTGTGACATTGGCCGTTTCTCGAAACTGTATGCTGGTGTTGCGCCAAACCTTCCTACTTACCCCGTCTCGCCTAGTTTCCATAGGCATAGTAAATTAGCGAAAGACTTCTTGGTGGTGACAACCACATCAAAATACAATGCCGTTGTTCTTCCTGCTTACGAGTGGGGAAAAAACGTGCAAAACAAGGCAGATAGTTTGTGGGTGGCTGAGTGTCTGTGTGAAGCACCCATGCCAGATAGTTTTCTGTCGGTTACTTTTACTGTACAAGGCAGTACTTCTGTTTGGTCACATGGCAAAAGCGACGCCACACTGCAACCAGTGCACACTTGAAAAGAAGCACTGGTTGTGGTTTTACAGAGTTCGGCCTTATTTGCGGCGCTGTTCAGGAGCCCCAGAAATGAGGATGAGCAAAAAGATGGTAGTAGGTATGGCACCGAGCCTAGTTTATATAAGGACAAACACCCAGGTGGAACACTGTGCAGTGTTGACCAAAATCTGTACAGATTTGACAGCTGGAGAGACGGACAAGGGTTTGCATAGTCAACGCTGCATGTTGAGCATAAAAGACAACGTAGTCCGTGCAAAATCACAACGAGATCGAAATCACAGATTGCGCTACCCCATCACAACCACCTCCTCCAGAACATTCCATGCATGCTCCCTTTCCCTACTCAAAAGATTTTTTCTAAACCATTCTAAACCACTCTATGCTGTCCATAAAGGTACCCAGGAAAATATCAGGACGCGGCACCTCTAGCACCGATCCTGCGATCGATCCTGCGCAGGATCGAATGTTTTAGGAGTTTAAAATGGTATTGAAAGATTTCAAAGTTTTCAAAAAAAAAATCAGTACGGTTGAATCAGCGATCCTGCGTTCGATCGTGCAAAATTGCTTGAGGTGCCGCGTCCTCACTCATCTTGCGCTTGTGGTAGAACGGCGAGCGGAAAGTCAGTGAGAAATTGCCCTCGATTACTGTTCAGTCAATGGGCGGTATGGGCGGCAGATCGGTATCTCGAGCCGCTAATGAGTGCTTGCTGAGGTTGATGTTTCCAAACCGTGAGGTTTGATCAGGACGGAGGTCGCATGGTGGTCGCACGCGATTTTTGGGCTTCCGAACCTACTTTCCAGCTTATTTAGTGTGGTTTCCCACTTAACTCATCTCCTCCCGAACAGCAAGCACCTTAAAGGCGGGGTGGAACTTCTTAGGAACAGTAGCAGGACAAATATGGAGTGTGTGTAACGGGACCCTTATTGGACGAAAAAAATGGAATCTCGCATAAGACAAACCTCTCGCCACTGAACTGCCTGGGACTACCAAGTTTCAAGCTATAATACCCTGAAGTCGAAGCTGATAGTTGGGCCACGGCTTTAAGGAAGAGTGGGTCCTGAGTACACTGTTGTGTGCTAGAACCCGTCGGTGTGTACTCTGATGACGGGCAGTGGAGTTGAGTGGGATGAAAGATGATCGGTCGGGTCGGGGAGTCAAAGAAAGCCCCAGGCCCCTCAGCTGCCCGCGGGCCCCCCCAACCTCGTGGCCGAGAGAAGCAAGGCCTGAAGAGAAGCAAGGACATCACGCGTGTGACAATGTACGCGAGTCATGTCCGAACCGCAGCTACGCTAGCCAATGGCTTCATCCACCGTCCTATCTACGACTTGCTCCTCCACCGACATTTGCGATTTCATCATCCCCAGCGAACATCGTAGAGAGATTCTCCTCGTTCGCATGCCGTCGCAGCCCTGTCGCTCATGCCATGAGCAACACCCTGCCCACAGTGAATGTAGCGGCCATTATCTCCGATACTCAGATTTTGACTGAGCGCGTTCTCAGGTGTAATCACCAACAGAAACACAGTTTTTCGATATAGTGTAAAACTATTCTGTCTCATATTTGTATACAGTCACTCAAAAAAGGAAGTCTAGCACTTGCAAAAAATAAATATAATGCCCGTAGCGAACCTATATGTTTTCCGGGAAGGGATGACAAAAAAAATAATACCCACCTCGGAAAGGGATGCGACTGGGGAGGCATCAACCCTAAAAAAAATGCCCATTTCCATGTTTAGGGTTGACCCCTCTCGAAAATGCATCTAGGTTCCCTAGGGGTTTTATTTTTTTCTGCCATGCCCGAATAGGTCTCGGTAGCGTCGTCTAGTACTTTCGGTAGCGTTATTTAGCGGTCGGTTGCGCTACTGAGCACTACCAAGTGAATTATATGGGCTTCATTATCTTAATACCTTAATTTCCGTACGTGTATCCAGGTCGGGAGGGTAAAGTGGATGGTTTTGTTTTTGTCACTTCCTAATGAGTTCGACCAGCGTGAGAAATGTGACTACAAAGCGACGACCAATCAACGTTGAGAAAGTCCAGGTTGATTACACCTGAGAACGCGCTCAGGCGAGATCTGAGTATCGGAGATAATGGCCGGTGAATGTAGGGTTGTTGGTTCCGCGTCGCCAGTAGGGTGTCGTACTTTCCACGACGCTGGCCCTGTCTGTGCTGGCCCAGTAGTACAGTGTCTTCTGGCTGTCTGTACTCAATCCAACCAAACCCACTCGAATCTCACGCACCCACAAGCACCCACAACAATCGCATGTTGGGGGCTCAGGAAGCATATAACACGTTCAGTGCACAAACACATCTCCAATCCCTCGCCCACACAATTACCTGAAGCATCTTCCTCGCCTGCATCGCAGCTCTGCCGCGGCCGTGGGCAGTACGATTTTTGAGGCGCTTACAAAATTCGTCTGTAGCCCACGGGACTTGGAGATAACCACGCGTGTAAGCTCTCGGAGACACGCGCGGAAGGGACGATTTTACGACGAGAATGGCGGCCAGCGGCGCCGTTCTCCGCGGCACGCCGCGGCAGAGCCTCCATCACCATCTGTCGCTCCTCTTCGCGTTCATTCTCGTCTTCTCCTCGTCCCACCGTCTCTCCGCAAACGGCGGCGCATTCGGTGGTGGCGCTGACGCGGCTGCGCTGCCAGAGCTCTCTTCCTACTCCAGCATGGCGCTGCTCGATCCGCGCTTCGAGCTCTATTGGAGCACCAACACGAGCGACGCGACCATCCACATCGCGGCGCGGGCGCAGACGGCGGGATGGCTCGCAATAGGCCTTTCTGAATCCGGCGGAATGTTCGGCTCTGGTTCGTTCCCACGCTCGTTCCCCGCGTTGGTTCCCCGCGTTCGTTCTCCGCGCTCATTCCCCGCGCTCATCCCTCGCGTTCGTTCCCCGTGCTCGATCCCCGCGCGCGTTTCCCCCGTCTGTTCGCATTTTTACGCGTTCTCCCCTCTCGTTCGCATTTTCTCGCGTTTCTCTCCGCTCGTTCGCGCGCCCCGCGCGCTCGTTACCTGAGTCAACACACGGAGCTTTTCCCTATCCGCGACGAACCCTAACGCGGTTCAACATAAACAAACGATGCTACCTTTTCTTCGCCTCTCGTTCTCTATCATTCTCAGATGCGATGGTTGGCGGAGCAAGAGGGATCGGTCCGAGATGCTTTCCGGGTTGTCTCAAAAAACATTTTCGCTTTGTTTCTCTCTCGGGATCGCTCTGCGAGCAACATTGGTTAACCTCTCTGTACAATGGTGGCGTGGGTGGCGGAGCGCGAGGTGCGCGTGCAGGCAGCGGATCGGTTCGAGATGGCCGTAGCGTCGTCTCAAGATCAATATTTCTGCTTCTCTCATCTCGCAGATGTGATGGTGGCGTGGGTGGCGGAGCGCGAGGGGCGTTCATACGCGACGGATCGGTTCGAGATGCCTTTTGGCTTGACTTAGGAGTCATTTTCTCTTTGCTTCTCTCTCTGTCACTCTCAGATGTAATGGTGGCGTGGGTGGCGGAGTGCGGAGTGCGAGGGGCGCGTGTATGCAACAGATGGGTCCGAGATGCCTTATAAGTCGACTCAAGAGTCATCTCCTTTTTCCTCCTCACTCTCTCTTTCACTCCCAGATGTAATGGTAGCGTGGGTGGCGGAGCGCGAGGGGCGCGTGTATGCAACGGACCGCTTCGTCTTCAACAAGACGGGGGAAGGCGTCGCATTGGACGACCAGCAGGACTGGCGCGTGCTGGGCGGCAGCCAGACCATGGATCAATCCACGGGCGACACGTGGACCACCGTGCACGTGTGGCGCCAGCTTGACACCGGCGACTGCAACGACCGCCCCATCACAGCTGGCGCGCTGTCATTCGTCATCTGGGCCATGGGTGCGTTGGGCGGGGGAGGAGTGAGAGGCATGGGTGAGAGGATGGGTGGGAGGGATGTGTGAGAGAGGGATGGGTGAGAGGGATGGGGAGTGGAGGCCTGTGTATGTGTGTGTGTATGTGTGTGTGTATGTGTGTGTGCATGTGTGTGTGTTTCTCTCTATTCTTCTCACTCACTTTCCCCTCCTCACACCTCCCTATAATATCTCACACTTTCAGGCACAACCGACGAGCTCGCCTATCACAGCGCGACACGTGGCGCCACCTCGCTCGTCCTGCTGCCCGCGCCTGGCCCCTCCATCCTCGACCCGGCCACCCCTCCCACCACCATCGCCCAATCCACTGCTGCCAGCTGGCCTGCCATCACGTCAGCAGGCAAGCTCGCCGCATATGCCCAGGGGCAGGCGAACGGGCAGAAGAACGGGCAAGGCGTGGTGATGGGCGATGATGGGCGGTTCAACCTGACGATGGTGAACCACCGCGTTCCACCAACTACACCACCTACATGTGCAAGGTGTGTCCCTCCCTCAGGCCCTCACCCCACTTCTCCCTCTCCCTCCCTCTCTCACCCTCTCCCACCCTCTCCTCCCTCTCCCTCCATCTCCTCCATCTCCTCCCTCTCCTCCCTCTCCCTCCCTCCTCCGCTCCCCCTTCCCTCTCCCTCCCTCTGTTTCCTCTCCCTCCCACCTCCCTCTGTTTCCTCTCCCTCCCACCTCCCTGTGTTTCCTCGCCCTCCATCTCTTTCCTCTCCCTCCCTCTCTTTCCTCTCCCTCCCTCTCTTTCCTCTCCCTCCCTCTCTTTCCTCTCCCTCCCTCTCTTTCCTCTCCCTCCCTCTCTTTCCTCTCCCTCCCTCTCTTTCCTCTCCCTCCCTCTCTTTCCTCTCCCTCCCTCTCTTTCCTCTCCCTCCCTCTCTTTCCTCTCCCTCCCTCTCTTTCCTCTCCCTCCCTCTCTTTCCTCTCCCTCCCTCTCTTTCCTCTCCCTCCCTCTCTTTCCTCTCCCTCCCTCTCTTTCCTCTCCCTCCCTCTCTTTCCTCTCCCTCCCTCTCTTTCCTCTCCCTCCCTCTCTTTCCTCTCCCTCCCTCTCTTCTCTCTCCCTCCCCCTCCGTCCCGCTCTTCCCTCGCCCTCGCTCTCCACCACAGGCAGACGTTCGACCTGCCACTCTGCATTTCCTCCTTCTCTCCCTAACCCTCCTCCTTTCGCTCCTCTTCATTCTCCCTCTCCCCCCCCTCCTCCTGGCAGACGTTCGACCTGCCACTCACCGCCAAGCGACACATCACGCAATTCGGCATACAAATCAACTCGTCGCTGCCCTCCGTGCTGCATCACGCACTGCTCTTCGGCTGCCCCCTGTACGTCCCCCCCCCCTCCCCCCCTCTCCTCCCACCCCCTTCTTCCCCCCTTACCCCCCCCCCCCCCCCCCCCCCCCCCGGTACGACTTTTGTTGCGCCTCAATAGCCCTCCGTGCTGCACCACGCACTGCTCTTCGGCTGCCCCCTGTACGTCTCTCTCCTTTCCTCCTCTACATCCTGTCCCGCTCCTCATGTCTTGCACCTGTGGTTCCCCCCCCCCACACCACTCCTCACCTTTTCAACCCCCTCCTCCCTCCCTGCTGCACTGCGCACTGCTCTTCGGCTGCCCCGCTCCCAAACCTCCCCCTCCCTCCCTCCCCCTACCTTCCCCTCTTTCTTCCCCCTGTACCCCCCCGTACGACTCTTGTTGTGCCTCAATAGCCCTCGGGACTGCACCATGCGCTGCTCTTCCGCTGCCCTCCCCTCCCCCCCCCCTCTCTCCCACCACCTCATCCCCCTCTCTCTCCCCACCTGCACTCATCGCACGTGTCCCCCCCTCGTCATTCGCCGTGATTCCTCCCGTCCCCACCACTTCCCATCCGTCCCCTCCCCCTCTTCTCGTCCCTCTCCCGTCCTCTCCCCCCTCCTCTTTTGCCAGTGGCAGGGAGGGACATAAGGATGTGCCGGCGGCAACACAGGGCGTGTGAGAGTGCATGCATGAGTCAACGCCCTGCCAGAGGCACACAGTGGGAGTGTGGGAGCTGGGTGCTGCAGGGGCACACAGCCAGCACCCTGCAGCTGGGTGCTGCAGGGGCACACAGCCAGCACCCTGCAGCTGGGTGCTGCAGGGGCACACAGCCAGCACCCTGCAGCTGGGTGCTGCAGGGGCACACAGCCAGCACCCTGCAGCTGGGTGCTGCAGGGGCACACAGCCAGCACCCTGCAGCTGGGTGCTGCAGGGGCACACAGCCAGCACCCTGCAGCTGGGTGCTGCAGGGGCACACAGCCAGCACCCTGCAGCTGGGTGCTGCAGGGGCACACAGCCAGCACCCTGCAGCTGGGTGCTGCAGGGGCACACAGCCAGCACCCTGCAGCTGGGTGCTGCAGGGGCACACAGCCAGCACCCTGCAGCTGGGTGCTGCAGGGGCACACAGCCAGCACCCTGCAGCTGGGTGCTGCAGGGGCACACAGCCAGCACCCTGCAGCTGGGTGCTGCAGGGGCACACAGCCAGCACCCTGCAGCTGGGTGCTGCAGGGGCACACAGCCAGCACCCTGCAGCTGGGTGCTGCAGGGGCACACAGCCAGCACCCTGCAGCTGGGTGCTGCAGGGGCACACAGCCAGCACCCTGCAGCTGGTGCTGCAGGGGCACCAGCCAGCACCTGCAGCTGGGTGCTGCAGGGGCACACAGCCAGCACCCTGCAGCTGGGTGCTGCAGGGGCACACAGCCAGCACCCTGCAGCTGGGTGCTGCAGGGGCACACAGCCAGCACCCTGCAGCTGGGTGCTGCAGGGGCACACAGCCAGCACCCTGCAGCTGGGTGCTGCAGGGGCACACAGCCAGCACCCTGCAGCTGGGTGCTGGCTCCTGTTCCTCAGATTCCCCCCTCACTTCCCTCTCCCGCACCCATTACCCATGGCAGGGAGGAATATAAGGACGTGCCAGCAACACAGGGCGTGTATGAGGAGTGCACGCACGAGGCAACGCCCTGCCAGGGCCACACCGTGGGGGTGTGGGGGCTGGGGGGCTGTCCTTACGCCTTCCCGCTTCAACCAACCCCCCCATCTCACCCCCCCATGCCTGCTCCCCCCATGCCTGCTCCCCCCATGCCTGCTCCCCCCATGCCTGCTCCCCCCATGCGTGCTCCCCCCATGCGTGCTCCCCCCATGCCTGCTCCCCCTCCCACTCCTTCCCCTCCACCCCGCCCCATCCCTTACCTTTCCCATGGCAGGGAGGAATATAAGGACGTGCCGGCAACACAGGGCGTGTATGATTGCATGCACGAGTCAACGCCCTGTCAGGGCCACACCGTGGCAATGTGGGGGCTGGGTGCGCGTCCCTACTCCTTCCCCCGCGATGTTGGCTTTCCCATCGGCCCCGGATACTACACCAAGTTCGTGCTGCAGGTGGGTGCTGCGCGGTGCAGTGCGGTGATGTGCGGTGCTCAGTGGCCATGTGGGGGTTGGGGGCGCGTCCCTACTCCTTCCCCCGCGATGTTGGCTTTCCCATTAGCCCCGGATACTACACCAAGTTCGTGCTGCAGGTGCGATGTTAGTGCGGTGCCATGCGGTGCACTGTGTTCATGTTAAGTGCTGTGCGGTGCCGTGTGGTGCATGCACGACATGCCCCTACACCTTCTGTGGAGCTTGGTTCAAGACCCTAATTGTTCGTTCCCTGTGTCAGTCAGTATTCCCCTACTACCCACCCACCTATCCCCTCTTTATCTCATCTTTATCTCCTCGTCCTTCCCTATTTTGACCCAACCAAACCCCTTTCTCATCCCTCTCCTCCCCCGTATTTTCCAGATTCATTACACCATTCTCTTTTTAGATTCACCCAACCAATCCCCCTATTTTGACCCAACCAAACCCTCTTCTCATCCCCCTTCTCCCTTGTATCTCCCTCTCCTCCTCCCCCTTCAGATCCACTACACCAATCCCGACGCCCGCTCTGACATTGTCGACAACAGCGGAATCTTCCTGGAAACTTCTGCCCCAGGGAAGCACGACGCAGGAATCATGATGGCTGGCCCGGTCTACTACGGGCTGCTGCTGCAGATCCCACCTGGCCAGGTAACACCTGGACAGGTCAGGTAGCACCTGGATAGGTCAGGTAGCACCTGGATAGGTCAGGTAGCACCTGGATAGGTCAGGTAGCACCTGGATAGGTCAGGTAGCACCTGGATAGGTCAGGTAACACCCTTTTCTGATTCTACTAAAGCTGCAGTGGCCAAGCCTGCTTCCATCCACCTCCTGTCATGCTCTCTTCACTTCCCTCTTCACTTCCCTCTTCACTTCCCTCTCCCCCTCCCCCTAATCTGCAGCCCTCGTGGACACAGGAGAGCATTTGCCCCGGGCGATGCACCAAGGCAGTATCAGTCCCTGCTCTCATCCCGGCGTCCTTTTTATCCCCCGCGCCTCCTCTCCTTCCTTGCGTCTCGCCCCTCTGCACCCCTCGTGGACGCAGGAGAACATCTGCTATGCCCGGGCCGGTGCACCAAGGCAGTGTTCTCATGCCCTCCCTCTCATCCCTCATCCCTGGTGTTCCCCCCTTCATCCTCTTCCTCCCCCCTCTGCACCCCTCGTTGACGCAGGAGAACATATGCTATGCCCGGGGCGGTGCACCAAGGCAGTGTTCCACTCTTGGCCCATCGCATCCCCCCTCTCTCTTTTCCCATCTCGTCCCTTCTTCCCCTCGCCCTTCTCTGCAGCCGTCGTGGACCCAGGAGAACATCTGCCCGGGGCGGTGCACCAAGGCAGTGTTCAAGAACGAGTCGGTGAACATAGTTGCTGCCGCCCTGCACCAACACGCGCTTGGCCGCCAGGTATCAACGCACACACGGGTGGCGGCACACACGGGTAGCAGCATGCACGCACCACCTGCCCACACTGTACTCCTCTCACCATCTCATCAGATATTCACCGATGTGTATCGGGATGGGGCAAAGGTCACCACCGTCGCGCTTTGATTCGACTAGAAAACTTACCACCTCTTTCACCTCCTCACCACCACTCTCAACCCATCTCCACACCCCTTGCCCCTCTCACCACCCCATCAGATGTATACCGATGTGTATCGGGATGGCGAAAAGGTCACCACAGTCGCTCGCCTCGACTACTAGTGAGTGTCCTCCCGGGTCAGTGCTTGTCATGAAGAAGAGCAGCAGTAGGAGGGGATGTCCCCTGTGTATATCTTCGTGTTGTCCCCTGTGTATATCTTCGTGTTGTCCCCTGTGCATATCTTCGTGTTGTCCCCTGTGTATATCTTCGTGTTGTCCCCTGTGTACATCTTCGTGTTGTCCCCTGTGTATATCTTCGTGTTGTCCCCTGTGTATATCTTCGTGTTGTCCCCTGTGTATATCTTCGTGTTGTCCCCTGTGTATATCTTCGTGTTGTCCCCTGTGTATATCTTCGTGTTGTCCCCTCCTACTGCTGCTCTTCTTCATGACAAGCACTCGCTCGCCTCGACTACTAGTGAGTGTCCTCCCGCCCTTCACCCCTCCCGCCCTTCACCCCTCCCGCCCTTCACCTCTCCCGCCCTTCACCCCTCCCGCCCTTCACCTCTCCCGCCCTTCACCCCTCCCGCCCTTCACCCCTCCCGCCCGCCCTTCACCCCTCGCTTCACACGTCTTTTCCCCTCGCTCCACTCATACTCTCTTTTATCGTCTTTCTTTTCCTTTCAACTACCATCTTATCTCTTTTCTTCTCGAATCATTTCTTCTCTCCTCTCCTCCCTCCTATCCTCGCTCTTCCCCCCACAGTGACTTGGCCTCACAGCAGATGAGCAGATAGATGATCCATGTGCACCCGCCCTTTGAGCTACAGCCAGAGCTACAGCCAGAGCTACAGCCAGAGCTCTATTTTTTAGGCACCCGCCCTTTGAGGCACCTCCCCTTTGAGGACGTGCAGCCGCCCTTCCAGCTGCACCCAGAGGCCTATTCATTAGGTGTCCTAACATATCATCTTCTCTCTCTCTCTCTCTCTCTCCCTTTTCCCAGTGACTTTGCATCACAGCAGATGATCAACGTGCAGCCGCCCTTCCAGCTACAGCCGGGGGATGAGCTGCGCACCAAGTGTGTGTGGGACTCCACCTCCCGCTCCAACGTAAGCCATGGTGGTAATGAGCGGTGGTGGGCGGTGAACAGCGGTGACTGCATTGTTTTCCGGCAGCTCATATACTTTTACTTTAGGCTCCTGCCCTTTTCCATGCCTTACCATCCCATCCCATCCCATCCGACACAGTCACATGCCATGCCATCTCACGCACACCATGCCATCTCACGCCCCCCATGCCATCTCACGCCCATGCCATTCCACCCCATGCCATGCCATGCCACCCCACAGGTGACAATAGGGGGCGAGGCCAGCAAGGAGGAGATGTGCATCAGCTTCCTTCTCTACTACCCGAGGTGACTTTAGAGTCGACTCAAACACTCCGCCCTGTGCCATTATCACTTGCCATGCCATGCCATCCCACCCCACAGGTGACAATGGGAGGAGAGGCCAGCAACGACGAGATGTGCATCACCTTTCTTCTCTACTACCCAGCATATAGAGACAAGCGAGGTGAGGCCGTCTGGCACATACTGACAAGCGAGGTGAGGCCGTCTGGCACATACTGACAAGCGAGGTGAGGCCGTGTGGCACATACTGACAAGCGAGGTGAGGCCGTCTGGCACATACTGACAAACGAGGTGAGGCCCTTTCACAGATAAGAACAGGCGAGGTGAAGCCATTTGTGTAGTGCCCTTTTGGATGTGCTCTGCATACCCTCTGTGAATCGTCGTGTATCTCTCTCTCTCTCTCAGCCTATCTGCTTTTTCTTGCCCAAGGAACACTCAATGCCATGCCTCTCCCCCTGTTGCAACACCATTGTCATATAACGAGATTAACTAGGACTTAGGAACTAGGGTAGAACGAGAGGCAAGGATCATATTGAGAAGACTGGGAGCAAGAGTTGGCCAAAAGGGGTTTCATTAAAAGAGTTGAGTACAAGATATAGGCAAGAAACAAGGGTGCACCACCAAACAATAAACAATATAACTACACTGTTCTAAACTACAAGCAGTTATATAAAATATATACTAACATATTTTGACAACCATGCCTCTCACCCTGACTCCTGCGTGTTGTAACGGCAGAGATGCGCTCATGTGTGGCCATGTGTGCCGGCATATCCGAGGGAAAGCTCAACCTGGACCCTGCACCTCTCAACCCCTGTGTCTCCCCCCCCAATCTCTGCCACCACTGTGTGTTGTGTGTGCCTGAACTGCAGAGGATGCGCTCATGTGTGGCCATGTGTGCCGACATATCCGAGGGAAAACTCAACCTGGACCCTGCCAGCCCCAAGCTCATGAGTTTTGCCGTCTGTGGCCCGGTAGGTTCTTGCTAGGCTCTGTGGGGTCTTGAAAGGCTCGGTGCGTTCTTGCTAGGCTCGGTGGGGTCTTGAAAGGCTCGGTGCGTTCTTGCTAGGCTCGGTGCGTTCTTGCTAGGCTCGGTGCGTTCTTGCTAGGGCTCGGTGCGTTCTTGCTAGGCTCGGTGCGTTCTTGCTAGGCTCGGTGCGTTCTTGCTAGGCTCGGTGCGTTCTCGCTAGGCTCGGTGCGTGTTCTCGCTAGGCTCGACATGCTCTCATTAGGCTCAGTGTTCTCACTAGCTTTGGAGCATCATAAAGAAAACCCCGAAACCATAACCTTGGGTATGCCGCTGCGCTCCCATGTTTTTGGCACGTCTCAAAAGACTCCCTTTATCACCTAAGCATACCTTGGGTACGGGCTCCTATGTAGAACGTCAGTTTGTTTTGAGACATCTCAACACAAATTACTGTCACATGGTTTCTTACTAGCTCGCAGCATCACCAACAACACCAAAAACCATACCTTCGTGTATCTGCCCCTATGTGACCCCCACTCAACCCATGCCCCTTCTCCTCTCCTCTCCCCCACCTGCCATCCCCTCTCATCCCCCATCCGCTCCTCCTCCCCCACCTGCCATCCCCCTCTCTATCCCCCCTCCTCTCCTCCCCTCCCCCCACCTGCCATCCCCCTCTCTATCCCCCATCCTCTCCTCCCCTCCCCCCACCTGCCATCCCCCCTCTCTATCCGCCATCCTCTCCTCCCCTCCCCCCACCTGCCATCCCCCCTCTCTATCCCCCATCCTCTCCTCCCCTCCCCCCCACCTGCCATCCCCCTCTCTATCCCCCATCCTCTCCTCCCCTCCCCCCACCTGCCATCCCCCTCTCTATCCCCCATCCTCTCCTCCCCTCCCCCCACCTGCCATCCCCCTCTCTATCCCCCATCCTCTCCTCCCCTCCCCCCACCTGCCATCCCCCTCTCTATCCCCCATCCTCTCCTCCCCTCCCCCCACCTGCCATCCCCCTCTCTATCCCCCATCCTCTCCTCCCCTCCCCCCACCTGCCATCCCCCTCTCTATCCCCCATCCTCTCCCTCCCCTCCCCCCACCTGCCATCCCCCTCTCTATCCCCCATCCTCTCCTCCCCTCCCCCCACCTGCCATCCCCCTCTCTATCCCCCATCCTCTCCTCCCCTCCCCCCACCTGCCATCCCCCTCTCTATCCCCCATCCTCTCCTCCCCTCCCCCCACACTGCCATCCCCCTCTCTATCCCCCATCCTCTCCTCCCCTCCCCCCACCTGCCATCCCCCTCTCTATCCCCCATCCTCTCCTCCCCTCCCCCCACCTGCCATCCCCCTCTCTATCCCACCATCCTCTCCTCCCCTCCCCCCACCTGCCATCCCCCTCTCTAATCCCCCCCATCCTCTCCTCCCCTCCCCCCACCTGCCATCCCCTCTCTATCCCCCATCCTCTCCTCCCCTCCCCCCACCTGCCATCCCCTCTCTATCCCCCATCCTCTCCTCCCCTCCCCCCACCTGCCATCCCCCTCTCTATCCCCATCCTCTCCTCCCTCCCCCCCCTGCCATCCCCCTCTCTATCCCCCATCCTCTCCTCCCCTCCCCCACCTGCCATCCCCCTCTCTATCCCCCATCCCTCTCCTCCCCTCCCCCCACCTGCCATCCCCCTCTCTATCCCCCATCCTCTCCTCCCCTCCCCCCACCTGCCATCCCCCTCTCTATTCCCCCATCCTCTCCTCCCCTCCCCCCACCTGCCATCCCCCTCTCTATCCCCCATCCTCTCCTCCCCTCCCCCCACCTGCCATCCCCCTCTCTATCCCCCATCCTCTCCTCCCCTCCCCCCACCTGCCATCCCCCTCTCTATCCCCCATCCTCTCCTCCCCTCCCCCCACCTGCCATCCCCCTCTCTATCCCCCATCCTCTCCTCCCCTCCCCCCCACCTGCCATCCCCCTCTCTATCCCCCATCCTCTCCTCCCCTCCCCCCACCTCCATCCCCCTCTCTATCCCCCATCCTCTCCTCCCCTCCCCCCACCTGCCATCCCCCTCTCTATCCCCCATCCTCTCCTCCCCTCCCCCCCACCTGCCATCCCCCTCTCTATCCCCCATCCTCTCCTCCCCTCCCCCCACCTGCCATCCCCCTCTCTATCCCCCCTCCTCTCCTCCCCTCCCCCCACCTGCCATCCCCCTCTCTATCCCCCATCCTCTCCTCCCTCCCCCCACCTGCCATCCCCCTCTCTATCCCCCATCCTCTCCTCCCCTCCCCCCACCTGCCATCCCCCTCTCTATCCCCCATCCTCTCCTCCCCTCCCCCCACCTGCCATCCCCTCTCTATCCCCCATCCTCTCCTCCCCTCCCCCCACCTGCCATCCCCCTCTCTATCCCCCATCCTCTCCTCCCCTCCCCCCACCTGCCATCCCCCTCTCTATCCCCCATCCTCTCCTCCCCTCCCCCACCTGCCATCCCCCTCTCTATCCCCCATCCTCTCCTCCCCCCTGCCATCCCCTCCTTCCCCATCCTCCTCCCTCCCCCACCTGCCATCCCCCTCTCTATCCCCCATCCTCTCCTCCCCTCCCCCCACCTGCCATCCCCCTCTCTATCCCCCATCCTCTCCTCCCCTCCCCCCACCTGCCATCCCCTCTCTATCCCCCATCCTCTCCTCCCCTCCCCCCACCTGCCATCCCCCTCGCTATCCCCCATCCTCTCCTCCCCCACCTGCCATCCCCCTCTCTATCCCCCATCCTCTCCTCCCTCCCCCCACCTGCTCCTATCCCCCATCCTCTCCTCCCCTCCCCCCACCTGCCATCCCCCTCTCTATCCCCCATCCTCTCCTCCCCTCCCCCCACCTGCCATCCCCCTCTCTATCCCCCATCCTCTCCTCCCCTCCCCCCACCTGCCATCCCCCTCTCTATCCCCCATCCTCTCCTCCCCTCCCCCACCTGCCATCCCCCTCTCTATCCCCCATCCTCTCCTCCCCTCCCCCCACCTGCCATCCCCCTCTCTATCCCCCATCCTCTCCTCCCCTCCCCCCACCTGCCATCCCCCTCTCTATCCCCCATCCTCTCCTCCCCTCCCCCCACCTGCCATCCCCCTCTCTATCCCCCATCCTCTCCTCCCCTCCCCCCACCTGCCATCCCCCTCTCTATCCCCCATCCTCTCCTCCCCTCCCCCCACCTGCCATCCCCTCTCTATCCCCCATCCTCTCCTCCCCTCCCCCCACCTGCCATCCCCCTCTCTATCCCCCATCCTCTCCTCCCCTCCCCCCACCTGCCATCCCCTCTCTATCCCCCATCCTCTCCTCCCCTCCCCCCACCTGCCATCCCCTCTCTATCCCCATCCTCTCCTCCCTCCCCCACCTGCCATCCCCCTCTCTATCCCCCATCCTCTCCTCCCCTCCCCCCACCTGCCATCCCCTCTCTATCCCCCATCCTCTCCTCCCCTCACCCCACCTGCCATCCCCCTCTCTAATCCCCCATCCTCTCCTCCCCTCCCCCCACCTGCCATCCCCCTCTCTATCCCCCATCCTCTCCTCCCTCCCCCACCTGCCTCCCCCTCTCTATCCCCCATCCTCTCCTCCCCTCCCCCCACCTGCCATCCCCCTCTCTATCCCCCATCCTCTCCTCCCCTCCCCCCACCTGCCATCCCCCTCTCTATCCCCCATCCTCTCCTCCCCTCCCCCCACCTGCCATCCCCCTCTCTATCCCCCATCCTCTCCTCCCCTCCCCCCACCTGCCATCCCCCTCTCTATCCCCCATCCTCTCCTCCCCTCCCCCCACCTGCCATCCCCCTCTCTATCCCCCATCCTCTCCTCCCCTCCCCCCACCTGCCATCCCCCTCTCTATCCCCCATCCTCGTCCTCCCCTCCCCCCACCTGCCATCCCCCTCTCTATCCCCCATCCTCTCCTCCCCTCCCCCCACCTGCCATCCCCCTCTCTATCCCCCATCCTCTCCTCCCCTCCCCCCACCTGCCATCCCCCTCTCTATCCCCCATCCTCTCCTCCCCTCCCCCCACCTGCCATCCCCCTCTCTATCCCCCATCCTCTCCTCCCCTCCCCCCACCTGCCATCCCCCTCTCTATCCCCCATCCTCTCCTCCCCTCCCCCCACCTGCCATCCCCCTCTCTATCCCCATCCTCTCCTCCCCTCCCCCACCTGCCATCCCCCTCTCTATCCCCCATCCTCTCCTCCCCTCCCCCCACCTGCCATCCCCCTCTCTATCCCCCATCCTCTCCTCCCCTCCCCCCACCTGCCATCCCCCTCTCTATCCCCCATCCTCTCCTCCCCTCCCCCCACCTGCCATCCCCCTCTCTATCCCCCATCCTCTCCATCCCCTCCCCCCACCTGCCATCCCCCTCTCTATCCCCCATCCTCTCCTCCCCTCCCCCCACCTGCCATCCCCCTCTCTATCCCCCATCCTCTCCTCCCCTCCCCCCACCTGCCATCCCCCTCTCTATCCCCCATCCTCTCCTCCCCTCACCCCCACCTGCCATCCCCCTCTCTATCCCCCATCCTCTCCTCCCCTCCCCCACCTGCCATCCCCCTCTCTATCCCCCATCCTCTCCTCCCCTCCCCCCACCTGCCATCCCCCTCTCTATCCCCCATCCTCTCCTCCCCTCCCCCCACCTGCCATCCCCCTCTCTATCCCCCATCCTCTCCTCCCCTCCCCCCAACCTGCCATCCCCCTCTCTATCCCCCATCCTCTCCTCCCCTCCCCCCACCTGCCATCCCCCTCTCTATCCCCCATCCTCTCCTCCCCTCCCCCCACCTGCCATCCCCCTCTCTATCCCCCATCCTCTCCTCCCCTCCCCCCACCTGCCATCCCCCTCTCTATCCCCCATCCTCTCCTCCCCTCCCCCCACCTGCCATCCCCCTCTCTATCCCCCATCCTCTCCTCCCCTCCCCCCACCTGCCATCCCCCTCTCTATCCACCATCCTCTCCTCCCCTCCCCCCACCTGCCATCCCCCTCTCTATCCCCCATCCTCTCCTCCCCTCCCCCCACCTGCCATCCCCCTCTCTATCCCCCATCCTCTCCTCCCCTCCCCCCACCTGCCATCCCCCTCTCTATCCCCCATCCTCTCCTCCCCTCCCCCCACCTGCCATCCCCCTCTCTATCCCCCATCCTCTCCTCCCCTCCCCCCACCTGCCATCCCCCTCTCTATCCCCCATCCTCTCCTCCCCTCCCCCCACCTGCCATCCCCCTCTCTATCCCCCATCCTCTCCTCCCCTCCCCCCACCTGCCATCCCCCTCTCTATCCCCCATCCTCTCCTCCCCTCCCCCCACCTGCCATCCCCCTCTCTATCCCCCATCCTCTCCTCCCCTCCCCCCACCTGCCATCCCCCTCTCTATCCCCCATCCTCTCCTCCCCTCCCCCCACCTGCCATCCCCCTCTCTATCCCCCATCCTCTCCTCCCCTCCCCCCACCTGCCATCCCCCTCTCTATCCCCCATCCTCTCCTCCCCTCCCCCCACCTGCCATCCCCCTCTCTATCCCCCATCCTCTCCTCCCCTCCCCCCACCTGCCATCCCCCTCTCTATCCCCCATCCTCTCCTCCCCTCCCCCCACCTGCCATCCCCCTCTCTATCCCCCATCCTCTCCTCCCCTCCCCCCACCTGCCATCCCCCTCTCTATCCCCCATCCTCTCCTCCCCTCCCCCCACCTGCCATCCCCCTCTCTATCCCCCATCCTCTCCTCCCCTCCCCCCACCTGCCATCCCCCTCTCTATCCCCCATCCTCTCCTCCCCTCCCCCCACCTGCCATCCCCCTCTCTATCCCCCATCCTCTCCTCCCCTCCCCCACCTGCCATCCCCCTCTCTATCCCCCATCCTCTCCTCCCCTCCCCCCACCTGCCATCCCCCTCTCTATCCCCCATCCTCTCCTCCCCTCCCCCCACCTGCCATCCCCCTCTCTATCCCCCATCCTCTCCTCCCCTCCCCCACCTGCCATCCCCCTCTCTATCCCCCATCCTCTCCTCCCCTCCCCCCACCTGCCATCCCCCTCTCTATCCCCCATCCTCTCCTCCCCTCCCCCCACCTGCCATCCCCCTCTCTATCCCCCATCCTCTCCTCCCCTCCCCCCACCTGCCATCCCCCTCTCTATCCCCCATCCTCTCCTCCCCTCCCCCCACCTGCCATCCCCCTCTCTATCCCCCATCCTCTCCTCCCCTCCCCCCACCTGCCATCCCCCTCTCTATCCCCCATCCTCTCCTCCCCTCCCCCCACCTGCCATCCCCCTCTCTATCCCCCATCCTCTCCTCCCCTCCCCCCACCTGCCATCCCCCTCTCTATCCCCCATCCTCTCCTCCCCTCCCCCCACCTGCCATCCCCCTCTCTATCCCCCATCCTCTCCTCCCCTCCCCCCACCTGCCATCCCCCTCTCTATCCCCCATCCTCTCCTCCCCTCCCCCCACCTGCCATCCCCCTCTCTATCCCCCATCCTCTCCTCCCCTCCCCCCACCTGCCATCCCCCTCTCTATCCCCCATCCTCTCCTCCCCTCCCCCCACCTGCCATCCCCCTCTCTATCCCCCATCCTCTCCTCCCCTCCCCCCACCTGCCATCCCCCTCTCTATCCCCCATCCTCTCCTCCCCTCCCCCCACCTGCCATCCCCCTCTCTATCCCCCATCCTCTCCTCCCCTCCCCCCACCTGCCATCCCCCTCTCTATCCCCCATCCTCTCCTCCCCTCCCCCCACCTGCCATCCCCCTCTCTATCCCCCATCCTCTCCTCCCCTCCCCCCACCTGCCATCCCCCTCTCTATCCCCCATCCTCTCCTCCCCTCCCCCCACCTGCCATCCCCCTCTCTATCCCCCATCCTCTCCTCCCCTCCCCCCACCTGCCATCCCCCTCTCTATCCCCCATCCTCTCCTCCCCTCCCCCCACCTGCCATCCCCCTCTCTATCCCCCATCCTCTCCTCCCCTCCCCCCACCTGCCATCCCCCTCTCTATCCCCCATCCTCTCCTCCCCTCCCCCCACCTGCCATCCCCCTCTCTATCCCCCATCCTCTCCTCCCCTCCCCCCACCTGCCATCCCCCTCTCTATCCCCCATCCTCTCCTCCCCTCCCCCCACCTGCCATCCCCCTCTCTATCCCCCATCCTCTCCTCCCCTCCCCCCACCTGCCATCCCCCTCTCTATCCCCCATCCTCTCCTCCCCTCCCCCCACCTGCCATCCCCCTCTCTATCCCCCATCCTCTCCTCCCCTCCCCCCACCTGCCATCCCCCTCTCTATCCCCCATCCTCTCCTCCCCTCCCCCCACCTGCCATCCCCCTCTCTATCCCCCATCCTCTCCTCCCCTCCCCCCACCTGCCATCCCCCTCTCTATCCCCCATCCTCTCCTCCCCTCCCCCCACCTGCCATCCCCCTCTCTATCCCCCATCCTCTCCTCCCCTCCCCCCACCTGCCATCCCCCTCTCTATCCCCCATCCTCTCCTCCCCTCCCCCCACCTGCCATCCCCCTCTCTATCCCCCATCCTCTCCTCCCCTCCCCCCACCTGCCATCCCCCTCTCTATCCCCCATCCTCTCCTCCCCTCCCCCCACCTGCCATCCCCCTCTCTATCCCCCATCCTCTCCTCCCCTCCCCCCACCTGCCATCCCCCTCTCTATCCCCCATCCTCTCCTCCCCTCCCCCCACCTGCCATCCCCCTCTCTATCCCCCATCCTCTCCTCCCCTCCCCCCACCTGCCATCCCCCTCTCTATCCCCCATCCTCTCCTCCCCTCCCCCCACCTGCCATCCCCCTCTCTATCCCCCATCCTCTCCTCCCCTCCCCCCACCTGCCATCCCCCTCTCTATCCCCCATCCTCTCCTCCCCTCCCCCCACCTGCCATCCCCCTCTCTATCCCCCATCCTCTCCTCCCCTCCCCCCACCTGCCATCCCCCTCTCTATCCCCCATCCTCTCCTCCCCTCCCCCCACCTGCCATCCCCCTCTCTATCCCCCATCCTCTCCTCCCCTCCCCCCACCTGCCATCCCCCTCTCTATCCCCCATCCTCTCCTCCCCTCCCCCCACCTGCCATCCCCCTCTCTATCCCCCATCCTCTCCTCCCCTCCCCCCACCTGCCATCCCCCTCTCTATCCCCCATCCTCTCCTCCCCTCCCCCCACCTGCCATCCCCCTCTCTATCCCCCATCCTCTCCTCCCCTCCCCCCACCTGCCATCCCCCTCTCTATCCCCCATCCTCTCCTCCCCTCCCCCCACCTGCCATCCCCCTCTCTATCCCCCATCCTCTCCTCCCCTCCCCCCACCTGCCATCCCCCTCTCTATCCCCCATCCTCTCCTCCCCTCCCCCCACCTGCCATCCCCCTCTCTATCCCCCATCCTCTCCTCCCCTCCCCCCACCTGCCATCCCCCTCTCTATCCCCCATCCTCTCCTCCCCTCCCCCCACCTGCCATCCCCCTCTCTATCCCCCATCCTCTCCTCCCCTCCCCCCACCTGCCATCCCCCTCTCTATCCCCCATCCTCTCCTCCCCTC